TAGCCTCTGCTGCTACTCGATGAAGGGTGGGGGACTATGAGAAAGGGAGGCACAGCTACTGGCAGGTCTCGGTCTTTGTGTTAGCCAGACCCCCACTGGCGGCCCCAACCCTATACCCTAACCATTAGGGGCAAGGGGCAACATGAAATCTCCCCTTCACAGAGAGAGGAAAACTATGTTTGCAGGGGTCCCCTCTAGATAGTCTTAGGAGTAGGTAGTGGAAGGTAAAACAAACAGAAGTTGAGAGAAGAATATAGACAGTTGTGATTACCCCTAAAAAAAAAAAAAAAAAAAAAAAATCCGGCACAGCCCGGGGCAACATGAAATCTCCCCTTCACAGAGAGAGGAAAAACTATGCTTCCAGGGGTCCCCTCTAGATAGTCTTAGGAGTAGGGGCCTCGTTAGACACTCCTTGGGGACGTGAAATCCACAAGGACGTGCTCGTTCCACCTGTCCTTGGGGACGAAATTGAAAAAGAAATGTGAAAACGCCACAAGGAAAATTCCTTGTGGCATCCTTGTGGCCCCAGCCATTTCTTCCTTGTGCCCAAGGGACCTCACGAGGTCCCTTGGGCACAAGGAATCCGCGTTTCACGGAGAGGAGAGGGCACACGGGTAGATAGACGTTACAGCTGAGAATCTGGATCGTGGCGGCACCCTATTGGCTGAAGGCCTGAAGCACAACTGTTTTTTCTTTTCTTTTCTTTTCTTTTTCCTGACATCAGTCTTAGGAAATGTCCTCGGGCGACATCCCCGAGGACAGGTGGAACGAAGAGCCCGAATTCCCTTATGAGCCACGAGGAAAATTCCTTGTGGCGCAAGGAACTCGTAAGGAGTGTCTAACGAGGCCCTAGGTAGTGGAAGGTAAACAAACAGAAGTTGAGAGAAGAATATAGACATTTGTGATCACCCCAATAAATTAAAAAAAAAAAAAAAAAAAAAAAAAAAAAAAAACAAACAAACAAACAAACAAACTTTTGGTGCTTGAAACCACCACTACCTCTGAACCTATTTTTGCCGACCCTGATTTTCACTGCGGCCGAGCCCAGGCAGTTTCATCGAAGAAAGAAAGGGAAACTTTTCGAAATGCCCCTGAAGTTTGTGTTTATTTGCGATTCGCCCCTCCGACGGCGGACTTACCCTGATTTGCCCCTGGGGCCTCTGAACTTTCGAAAAGGCCCCTGTCAGTGAGGGGCACAACTTTTCGGAATGCCCCTACCGGTAGGCCGGTCCAATTTCCAGTGGTGGCTGTCCATTTTGCCCTTCTGCATTGGATGCATCTTCCTGGGATGCCCTCCAGCGGGGAGGCCCTCATAATTCGAATTCAAACTCCTCGATTTTCCGGGCCTCCGCTCAAAAAGACAGGGCTCCACTCCACGTTGTGTCCACTGCTTCAATTCACCACAGAGTTCATTCTTCTGGTACTGCGACCTGCCCCCGCCTTCGACGTCCTCGGAGAACGTTGCCGAAGGTGAGTGTTCCTCCCCTTCTTCCATGCCTCTCTCTCTCTCTCTCTCTCTCTCTCTCTCTCTCTCTC